CCCACCCTCCCCTCCCCTCCCCTCGTCGGCCTTCGCCTGAGAGATCAGCGAGAAACTCCAGCCAGGCATCACGCGGCCACCCCAAAGAAAGCCCGCCCCCCCGGAAGGCCTGAGACGCCGCATCACGACACCAGCGCCGCCACCGAGAGCAAGGCCGAGGCGCCGCGTCGCGTCCCGACGCCGCCAGCCCCGGGCTCCGTCCTCGGCCGAGGAACCCGCGCACCTGCCCTCTCCCGGGAACAGCGAGCGGGAAACGACGGGCGCGGCGGCCACGCGGACCAACACCTGCCGCCTGTGACGGCAGGAGAGGAGGCCGCCAGCGCTTCGGCCTCCGAACCTCGGGAAGGGCGGGAAGCTCGGCGCCCGGGCAGCGCGGGGGGCAGGGGCGGGGCCGGCGGCAGCGGGTGGCCGGCTAAATAACCGCCGCCCCGGGGCATGCCGGGATCTCGCGGCCTGGCCTCGCGATACTTCCCTCCTCGTGGGCGCCCGTTCTTCGCTGCATCCTGTTTCTCCGACTCGGAGCGTCGGCCGTTGTCGCAGAATGCGGGGAAGGCGTCAGGTGCTGTGACGTACAGAAGCAGAGGGGTGGGAAGACCCTTGTGTCCTGCGAGGGCTCGCCATCTGAGGACGGAAACCGGTGCGGGCCGGGGCAGCGCTGGGCTGCCATGGAGGGGCGGTCTCTGCAGGGTCGTGAGCACGTGGGGCAGGGGGTGTCGACGGCGGCCTGGGGGGCGGGCAGAGAGGCTTCCAGGGGGGCCCGCCTCTGTCACTCTTCCACGCGAGGAATAAGAGTGGCCAGGGCGTTGGCCGGGATGGTCCGTGGGAGGCGTCGGCCCGGGGGAGGGAAGGTGGGCAAAGGCGCCGGAGTTGTGAGAGGGATGGGTAAACTGAGGTCGAGAGGGAGAAATGGCGAGAGAGGACGCCGGGGGCTACACGAGCAGACACGAGCGCTTCGCACGGGCGTCTGGGCTTGAGGCTTCACGGGTGCGGATACTGAAACTCGAGATCGAGCCCGGGAGGAGGCTGATGCGGCTGGAGTGGAGGCTGACGTCACAGCCCGCGGAGAGGTGGGCCCGAGTGGTGGCCGAGAAGGCGTCGAATGCAAGAGATACTTGGCAAGGAAGACTGGCAGGTTGTGATCGCTTTTTAACAGTGACAAGTGGAGGAAGGGGGAGAAGCCTGGGATGCCTCCTGCTTCACCATGGCGAAGTGCCTGGGTTTGAGCACTGATGACCCAAGTCTGTTTCCCATTTTCCTCCGAGGTTCTGATATAATTGGTTTGTGCTTATATTTCGGCTTATGCTTTTTTAAGGACTTTAGCAAAAATTTTTTGGGAGGGAGGGGGTCTTACCCTGTTGCCCAGGCTGCAGTGAAGTGGCACGATCACTTCAGGAGCCTCGAACTTCTGGACTCAAGGGATCCTCCATCCTCAGCCTCCCGAGTAGCTGAGACTATAGGTGCGCACACCACGCCCGGCTGATTTTTCTACTTTTTTGTAAAGATGAAGTCTCGCTTTCCTGCCCACGCTGCATCTATCCTCTCTCCTTGGCCTTCCAAAGTGCTGGGATTACAACAGACATGAGCCACTGCCCCTGGTCCGCAATATGCTTAAATAATACATTTTGGTTTTGTTTTTTTTTTTGATCAATTTTTTAGACATGATAGTTGTGCTAAAATTACAAGATTTTTGAGCTGGAAAGAATGATCCAGTTTAACTTCGTTTTACATTTTAAGGAAATCAAGCCTAGATACTCTAAAAAAGATGAGATAGTCCCTCCAAGAGATGATACTAAGAATATACACAAGGTACCCCCTGGGGGCAATAATCTAATTTTTTAATTGAGGGTATAAATTCAATATCCCAATTTAGTAAAGTTATATGGCTCACACCTATAATCCAGCACTTTGTGAAGCTATGGCAGGAGGACTGCTTGTTCCCAGGAGCTCAAGACCAGCGTGAGCAACATAGTGAGACCTTGTCTTTACGGAAAATTAAAAAATTAGCCAGATTGGTGGTGCACACCTATAGTTGCAGCTACTCAGGAGGCTGAGGCAGAAGGATAGATTGAGCCCAGGAGGTCTAAGAGGCTGCAGTAAGCTGTCATCGTGCCATTGCTCCCCAACCAGGGTGACGGGGTGAGATAACTCAAAAATAAAAAAGTTTTACAATAGTGAAAAAGTCCATCGTGGTTGTTTTTTTTTAATTGAGTACTATATTAACATGTTTCCTTTTTATTTACTTATATTCTGCCTTTTAAAACAATAGTGCTCAAAATAGAATTTCTGTTTTTCATGTATTTCACATGAAATCTGTTTTTACATATCATCATCCTGTCCCTATAGGAACTAAAGTATTTGTGGAAAGATTTCAGGTTTTAAGAACCTCATTTTTTTCCCCACAAGAGATGTTGGCAAAAACATCAAAATATTGAGGAAAAGAATGAGAAGTAAATTAGGCTAAATTTTCTAATATGTTACAATAATGTAATAATTTGTTGTTTTAATTTTTTTTTTGAGTTGGAGTCTCACTCTGTCGCCCAGACTGGAGTGCAGTGGCCGCTCCTGGCCACCGCAACCTTGACCTGCTGGGCTCTGGCGATCCTTCCGCCTCAGCCTGTTTTAATTTTTAAAAATAGTCTTGCATAGAGCCGGGCTCGGTGGCTCAGCCTGTAATCCCACGCCTTTGGGAGGCTGAGGTGAGTGGATTGCCTGAGCCAGGGGGTTCGAGACCCGCTTGGGCAGCGAGACCTCATCTCTACAATAAATCAAAAAATGAGCCAGGCGTGGTAGCGCACACCTGCAGCTCCAGCTACTCGGAAGGCAGAGGCGGAAGGATCGCCGGAGCCCAGCGGGTCGAGGCTGCGGTGCCCGGGAGCGGCCACTGAACTCCAGTCTGGGCGACAGAGTGAGACTCCAACTCAAAAAAAAAAAAAAAATAGTCTTGCCATCACAAAATTTCTGCTTTGGTCTTTATAAAAGATCTTTTTTTAAGGCATTAATAAATGATTAGTTGAACAAGTCTTTGCTTGCCTTTAATAATTCAAAAAATGCATAACAGAAATACATCTAAAATGTTAGTTCCTTATTCCATCAATCTGGCCTTAATGAGGTTCACAAACAATATTCTGATTACAACTATTCCCACTATCTAGCCTTTCTTATGTCTATAAATAAGCTTTTATTTTTTTTATTTAATTTTTTTACCAAATCAAAAAAGTGAAGTTTCTTTAGGTGATAACTTTATGGCTTCTTTTGAAGGAACCAAGCAAAAAGAATAAATAACCATTGCCTTTTTTGAGTCCAATCTTGAAAAGAATCCTAGATGTTTTACATCTCATGAATAATACTGCAATTTCTTGCATCTTAAAAGACATTAGTGATAGTTCTATATTCCACAGAATTTGATGAGCACTGATGATGTCCACTTTATGTTGATATACTGGTAACATAGCAATACTGTTTGTTTTCCAATCCATCATCCTATGATGATAGAGTAAACAATTTAGATTTAGAACGTTTCAGACAAACCGCAACATGCTCAAATTTCAATACAAATTCCATTTCTCAAAGAAGAAAGTAGTCGATTCAGGGTCTTTAGTTTTCCAAGTGCTAGGTATTTCTGAATGGTTATGATTCAGAGTTCTCAGTTCAGTAAGCTTCCCTATGAGATGAGCAAAATGCTGTAGGTCTTCTGGATGATAAGTTTTTGAATATTTATACAAAATTTGTAAAACTGGTTCTTGTAAATTTTCCACATGTTGCTTGTTTTTAAGGCATGGACGATCTGAAAAATATCATATTTAACTTTACGTATGTTGGAAAGTAGTAAAAGATAATTCATTTAGAACAATGCAGTTTTTCTAATAATAAAAATAACAAATATATACTAAGTTCTTAAAATATGCCAGATATTATACTAAGTAATTTGCCTCTATGCATTATTTTATTTAATCTTCACATACTCTCTGAGGAAAGTTCTTTTATTACCATTTTTCAGATATGCTTCTTGAAACTTAGAGAATTAAGCAATTCCACAAAGTCACATGGGAAGGAATAGTCAGTAAAAAGCTGTAAGAATATAAGAGCAACCAAGGGCTTACTTGAAATGTAAAAAGATTAAGTACTTTTCCCAAGGCCAACAGTAAATAAAAGGCAAAGCTTCCTAAATACTGAACTGTAAATTTAAGAGCCAAGCAAGATTTTCTTAATGGTAAGGCAGCGTTCATTTGCCCAGTCATTGTACAGGAGATACAGCAGTGAACACAACAGACAAATCCCCCCTCCCCCATTGAGCTTATATTCTGGGTCTGGGAGGAAAAAATATATACACATTTTTAAAAGTAAAAATATGATAGAGTGATGT